GCGCGTGGCGATTTTCGTCCTGTCCCGCCCCCGGGTGGCGAGTGACATCTTTTCTGCCCGTCGCGCGCCCCGTGGCACGCGACGGTGCCCTGCCCGTCGTGCGCCCCGTGGCACGCGACGGTGCCCTGCCCGTCGTGCGCCCCGTGGCACACGACGGTGCCCTAAACCTGCCCGTCGTGCGCCCCGTGGCACGCGACGGTGCCCTGCCCGTCATGCGCCCCGTGGCACGCGACGGTGCCCTGCCCGTCGTGCGCCCCGTGGCATGCGACGGTGCCCTAAACTGCCCGTCACGTGCCCCGTGGTGCGCGACGGTGCCCTGAGCCGCCGCGGAACCGCCCCTGGCGCCTGCGACGGTGTCCTGAGCCGCCGCGTACCCGCCCCTGGCGCACTCGGCGGTGCCCCTGCCTCACCCGCGCCTGCACTCGCTGCAGCCGCCCCTGCACCACCCGGCGCCTGCCCTTGGAGCAGCCGCCCCCGCTCCTGCACTCGGTGCAGCCGCCTCTGCCTCACCCCGCGCCTGCACTCACTGCAGCCGCCCCTGACCTACCCGCGCCGACCCTCTGTAGCCGCTCTGCGGCTTTCTCCCCGCCCACCCCCTCCTCCTTCGTCTCCCTGCAGCCGTGGGGGGGAGGGTATGGGGGTGGCGGGTGTTGGGGTGATGGGTGGTGTGCTTCCCTTCCCCTCCTCCTCCTTTCGTTCCCACTGCTGCAGCTGCCGCTGGGGGGGAGGGTGTGAGGGTGTGGGGGAGCCGGGGGAGTGGCACTGGGGTGGCGGGTGTGAGACCAACCAGCAGCCGTCCCTCCACCTCTCCTCTCTTCCCCCCTCTGCTGCTCCTGCAGCAGTGTGGGGGGGAGGGGGAGGGGGAGGGTGAGGAAATGGAGGGGGTGACCAGCCAGAGCCAGCCCGCCTCCTCACTCTCCCTGCTGCCCCTCCTGTGGTTGGGGGGGGAAGAGAGTAAGGGGGTGGCAGGAATTTCTTGCTGTCGCCTGTCCCTTTGCTGCTGTACCTGCTCTGTTACCGTACCTGCTGTTGCTGTTGCTGGTATACCCCTGCAGGTTGTGTTCTGCACAAACTCCTGCTGCAGGCAGTTATGGGGGAGTGTTAGAATTTATATGTAACTGCCTGTAGCTGTAGTTTAGTGTAGTTATTATAAACTGTTGGTGGTGCACCTTCTTTGCATGCTCTGTTTACTATATGTACCCTAGTGCTATAGTGAACATCACTTTTCCCATTCTCGACTCTCACCTTGGCACAACCTCCTCGACTTCCCCTAGGCCTAGGCTACTAAGCCTAGGCCCTACCTAAAACCTAAGCTTACTCTTACTTAGTAACTCAACATGGTATCAGAGCGTAGTCGCTCTGATTCCATGTGCTTCCGCTGCTTTCTTTTCTATCGCGCGCCCCGTGGCGCGCGACACTTTTTTCTTCCCGCCACGCGCTCGGGGCGCGTGGCGGTTTTCCGCCCGCCGTGCGCCCCGGACGCGCGGCGTCTTCCTGCCCCGACGCCGCCCTTCTCGGCCCCTCACGGCCTCTTCGCGGCCCCGTCGCTGCTCCTCTCACGGCCCCTCGCGCTACCCTCAGTGGCCCCGTCGCCACACTTCGCGGCCCTGTCGCCGCCCCATCTCGGCACCGTCGCCGCCTTTAGCGGCCCCGTTGCCGCCCCTAGCGGCCCCGTCGCCGCTCTTCGCGGCCCCGTTGCCGCCCCTAGCGGCTCCGTTGCCGCCCCTTGTGGCCCTGTCACCTGCTCGTCGCGGCGCACCCCCCCCTGGCCGCCGCCTCTGCCTCCCTTGCGCCCGTGCCTGCTTTGCAGCAGTGCGCGGGCCTGCCTTGCAACAGCAGCCGCCCCTGGAGCAGCCACCCCAGCAGCAGCCGCCCCAGCAGCAGCCGCCCCTGGAGCAGCCGCCGCTGCAGCAGCCGCCCCTGGAGCCGCCGCCCCTGGAGCAGCCGTCACTGCAGCAGCCGCCCCTGGAGCCGCCACTGCAGCAGCAGCCCCTGGAGCAGCCGCCCCAGCAGCAGCCGCCCCTGGAGCAGCCGCCGCTGCAGCAGCCGCCCCTGGAGCCGCCGCCCCTGGAGCAGCCGTCACTGCAGCAGCCGCCCCTGGAGCCGCCACTGCAGCAGCAGCCCCAGCAGCAGCCGCCCCTGGAGCAGCCGCCGCTGCAGCAGCCGCCCCTGGAGCAGCCGTCACTGCAGCAGCCGCCCCTGGAGCCGCCACTGCAGCAGCAGCCCCTGGAGCAGCCGCCCCAGCAGCAGCCGCCCCTGGAGCAGCCGCCGCTGCAGCAGCCGCCCCTGGAGCCGCCGCCCCTGGAGCAGCCGCCACTGCAGCAGCCGCCCCAGCAGCCGCTACCCCTGCAGCAGCCGCCCCTGAAGCGGCCGCCCCTGAAGCGGCCGCCCCTGCAGCAGCCGCCCCTGGAGCAGCCCGCAACTGCAGCAGCCGCCCCTGGAGCAGCCCGCACCTGCAGCAGCCGCCCCTGGAGCAGCCCTCACCTGCAGCAGCCGCCCCTGGAGCAGCCTGCACCTGCAGCAGCCGCCCCTGGAGCAGCCCGCACCTGCAGCAGCCGCCCCTGGAGCAGCCCGCACCTGCAGCCCGTCCCGTTCCCCCCCCCCCCCCCGTGCATTCCGTGGTGCTGGGGGTGTGGGGTGCCGAGCATGGGGGTGGCGGGTGTGGGGGTGGCGGTTATGTGTTCCTCCCCTTGCTCCTCCTCCTCCCTCGTCTCCCACTGCTGCAGCTGTCGCTGAGGGGGGTGGGTGTGTGGGAGCCTAGGGTTTAGGGTTTAAGGGGGGTGCTGTGGGAGTGGAGCTAGGGTTTGAACAGGGAGTGTGTGAGAGGGGAGTGGGGCAGCTGGGGGAGGTTGTGTGAAGGTAGCTGTCGTGTCGCCTGCAGCGCCTGTAGTCCGTCGCCCTTGCTTCGGTAGCCAGTGAGCCTGTTGCACCAGTCGCCAGTGGGTCCGTTGCTCCTGCCGCTCGTCTATAGCCGCGGAGCCAGTCACTCCAGTAGTCCGTCGCCCTTGCTTCGGTAGCCACTGAGTCAGCCGCTCCTGTGCCCGTGCCTCTGCAGCTTCAGTCGTTGCCTCGCATCTTCTCTTCCTCCACAGTCTCTCCTCCTCATTTGCCCTCTTTGTCTGCTGCGCTCTACTTGGTGTACCCCTTCCGGGGGTGTTTCTGCACATGGTTCTTCACTGCAGGCAGTTAGGGGGTGTGTCAGAATGTTATTGTATACATCACTTTATAACTGCCTGCAATGTAGACTTAGTGTAGTTACCTTGCTTGTTAGGTGGTGCACCTTGCTTCACTTCTTTCATATTTGTACCCTTGAACCTATAGTGAAACCCTCATTCCCCTTCACAACTTTCTCGACACTCTCCTCACCCTCGAACTTAACTACCAAGGCTCCTAAGCTATGGCTCCCAAGCCCACCTAACTCTACCTACTACTTTCACAGTTTGGAGTGCATGTGAGCAAGGCGATTTCTCGCATGGACATGGAGAGTGGGGGTTCTGTTGGCAGCTCCTCCGGCTTCACTGCTGAAATGGCCCGTGCAGAGCACATGGGAATGCAGAGCGGCTCGTTGACCAGCGGTTCCTTGTCGTAGGAGTTTGTTGCTGAGCCGAATATTGGTTAATCTATAGTTTATTTTGTGTGTTCTTGAGTGAATAAAAAAGGCAGCCCGCATTGTGCTTTTTTCAAGGTTTGGATGTATCCACCCTTTACCTAGGGGTAATCATGTATCATTGTCTGTATTCCTTTTTAAAATACGCGTCATTCTCTCGCTTGTGTGTTACAACGACGCTGGAGGGTGGCGTTGCAAATAGCAACGAATTTGACATCTGGTGTAAAGTTAACCCATTGCCTTGGAATTATTGCATCGGTAGGTGCCCTAGGTGTTAGCTAGTGGTTAGTGAAATTCAGAATCCGCTAAGTGATTTGCATATACTACTAGGAGTATATATAGTTTGTTTTTAATACATCCGTCAGATGTTTCAGGCCCGCATATACCTAGGTGGGTGCGACGATGGATCAAAGTGAATCCGCGAGCATTATGCGATGCAGACGTCCTGGTCATGTAAACAATATACCCTCTGAAATAGCCTCAAGTGAATGTTTATTCAGCCAGCATTCATACATTGGGGATATACCACTAGCGTATTTCCCTGCATATAGAGCCCGGGAGAATTTCTTGAAATCCCAAGAAAAAACTGGCCAGGGTATCCATTATAACGGCATGGGTTTTTTAAGACCCCATCGGAGCAGTTTTATTGAGTGTGTACATGAATTTGTGGAGGGGCCTTTTTTTCGCACATTACAGAAAGCGGATTTCCACTATAGGAGAGTATAATTTGCGAGCTGACGCGCTGGATGTGTCAGATTTCGAGTCTGACGCGCTGGATCTGTCAGAAACTGAAAAGTTTCTTCTATAGTTAAATGCGCTAACTCGAAAAGAATGTGGAAGAACAGCACAATATACCGAAAAGGGTGTCCTTAAGTGATTCCCCCAGAGGGGGGCTCCTCTTTTAACGTGTTACAAAAGATCCCCTTCGTCGGCAGAGTCCCGTCCCGTGGGTCTTCCTTTCCAAGGGATCCTTTATGGGGCGGAATACGATTTATTGACCGCTCAGTGTAAACAACTTGACCCAACACTCTAGTACCGTAATTCCTTTTTGTGATACAGTACGTTTTACCGAAATGGTATTGCACGCACGGTGAGGCCAAACTTTCAGTCCTGGAATGGGCACACCTGGTACCGTCTACTGATTTCACTGAAATAACACAGGACTCATGAGAACCCTAGTTGTAGTATAGCATTCTAAGATGTATGAAGCTACAGTTCTTGGTTACTGCAACTCCATTCATGGGCTTTAGCAGCAAGCACCCAACACAGCTACACGATTTTCTGAGTCCACTAAACAAGGCAGCTGGGTGTGGATCACAGGGAACAGAGAGCTGCGAGCAGCAGCAGCAGCAAATGCTCTGTACTATATAGAGTTATACTTAGTGCACTGACACTAGCAGCAGAAGAATGTGGCCTGTTGCTTTGGCTGTTGATTTGGTGGTGGCCGTTGGATCGACTTATTATTGGCCTGAACACGCAACGAGGCAGAGGGGGGTGGGAAAGGAGGGGAAATAGCAGGAAGGAGAGGGAGAAGACAAAAACGGGTGGAGTGAGAGAGCGGAGGGTGGGGGGGAAGCGGGGGAGAGGGAGGGGGGACACGGGAGAGCTTGAAGGAGAAAGACTCATACATATGAATGCATGGCGAATGCATGGCATAAAGGATCGCAGTGATTCCGCCGGTCTGCAAACAAACTCTTCTATTAGCTATCCCTCCCAGCTTCCCTCCTTTTCTCCTGCCTAAACCCCCTCCACACCAGGAGCAACTCTCACCTGCTTAATTATTTCATCCACATCAACTGTACCAGCGCCGCCCGCTGCCGCCCCTCCAGTCGCACTCATGGGCGGCATGGGCTTGGCAGGTAGCATGTGATGGTGTGCACCAGTATTACGGGGGGATGCATGGGCCACTTGAGTGGGGCTGAATGCAGGAGGTGGTGGAGAGGACGAGGAGGAGAGAGGGGCAGGGACTCCTGTGGTGGGGGATGGGGTTGGGGCAGGTTGTTTGGAGAAAAGGAGAGTGGGTGAGAGAGTGATAGAGAGAAAGGCCGAGAAAGGGAAGACGTGGCAACGCAGCGTTGGGTGGGCATGTGTGGGCTGTTTGCTTGAGGTTGATGGGGAAAGGCGGGGGAGAAGAGGAGACAAATGAAGTAAAGACTGTCGTAGGAATTCGAGGCAAAGGTTGGCTGGATGGATAAATGGATGGATGGAGGGAGGGAGGGAGGGAGGGAGGGAGGGAGGGAGGGAGGGAGGGAGGGAGGGAGGGAGGGAGGGAGGGAGGGAGGGAGGGAGGGAGGGAGGGAGGGAGGGAGGGAGGGAGGGAGGGAGGGAGGGAGGGAGGGAGGGAGGGAGGGAGAGAGGGAGGGAGGGAGGGAGGGAGGGAGGGAGAGAGGGAGGGAGGGAGGGAGGGAGAGAGGGAGTGAGTGAGGGAGAGAGGGAGTGAGTGAGGGAGGGAGGGAGGGAGAGAAGGAGGGACAGAGAAGGGCGGAGGAGGGGGAAAGCTGGCATGGCAAGGCTGTTAGAAGAGGCGGTGTGGAGATTTCCTGTAGTCCGGAAAAGAGGCGGGGGAGGTTGGTTGGCAGGATAAAGAAAAAGGGAAACCTGAAATGCTATTCCCACACAAGTCATGCACGCACATGCTTAACCCTTCATACTTTAAAGGCAAACCGCAAAGCAAAACACCTCACCTTGATGCCTAGAGGGAGAGGCAGCAGCAGCAGCAGAATCAGTAACCCCCCTTTGAGCTGCTTCAGCAGCACGAGCCAGCATTTCCCCCACAGGACCTTGAACGGCTCGGGAAACAGGTAGCAATGCCACCACACCTCCCCCGGATCCACCTACCCCTGCATGCCCCTGCCCCTGCAGCTGCTGCTGCTGCCGCTGCCGTTCCTGCTCCTGCTCCTGCTCCAACTGCATCTGCTTCCACTGCTGCTGCTTCTGCAGCTCCTGCTTCTGCTTCTGCTGCTTTTGAAAATCGGAAAAGTCGTGAGAAAAACCTTCCCCAGACGAAGCCTTCATGACTTCATTAAAAGGCGGAGGGCGGGGAGCGGACCGTTTGGGGGAAACCGGCAGGGCGGAGGAGGCGGAGGCAGGAGCAAACGGAGGGATAGGGTTGGCGTGGAACGGCCCATCTTCAGGAACAGTAGAGGCACGATCTTCGGATAATCTCCCGCCCCCCCCGCTGCTAACTTTAAGGCTTCCTGCCTCGGCTGCCCCTGCGGTATTCTCGCCTCCCCAGCGGGAGAATGAATAGGCAGCGGAGGAAGATGGGGAGCCGACGGGGTGGGAGGAGGCGCGGGGGGAGTGAACGGGGGAGCGGGGCAAGGCAGAGGCGTCGGCAGCAGGGGGGAGGGGACGCGGGGGAGACACGTTGATGTGGATGATGGGGGGTGTGGGAAAGTGGGAGGGGGAGGAGGATGGTTCTTCTGTCCGAGCGATAGCAGCAGAGGGGCCTTGGGCGGCAAATGCCTGGGAAAAACTGAAGGAGTGGCCTTCCTGGAAGCAGGATTGGGACACGGGGAGAAAGGTTGGAAGCTGAGAGAGTGAGTGAGTTTACTGAAAGATCCTTTACGCCTAGGAGAAATCAAGGAGTGGGTGCTGCTATGGAGAAGGCAGGAAGAGGCAAATGGTGTTGGTGGATGGATGGAGATTGGGGAGGAGAGAGGGAGAATTGAGGGAGGTAAAGATGGTTGAAAAAAAGGGGATGAGAACGAGACGGCATTGGGAGTGAAGAGGAGAATCGCGGGAAAGACAGTAGGAGAAGCGAGAGCAATGCTGATCCTAGGTCAAATAATGCGCTTCAAGTGTCGCACCTTTATTCATCTCCTTCTATCCTCCCTCCAGATGCTTTTCATTTAGTGCACTCGGTGACCCAGCTGACCCAGCTCCTTCCTGCCCCTCTCCCCTCCCTACCACTTCCGTTCGTCCCTTCCCGTCTCGCCTCTACCCCTTTCGTTCACTCCTCCCACCCCTCTCCCATCCTACCCCTTTCCCTCGCTCGTCCCCATCCCTCTCTCATCCTACCCCTTTCCCTCGCTCCTTCCCATCCCTCTCCCATCCTACCCCTTTCCCTCGCTCCTTCCCAGCCCTCTCTCATCCTACCCCTTTCGCTCGCTCCTTCCCACCCCTCTCCCCTCCCCACCCTTCGCGTTCTCCACTTCCCACCCACCTTTCCGCCAGTCGACTCGTCTACGTCTGGCAAGAAAACAAACGCGGGGGCGTTTCTCTTTCCTCCTGCTGCCGGCCCCGCCATCCCCGCCGCCCCGCCCGCCCCGCCCGCCCGCGCTGCCCCCGCCGCCGCCGCGCCGGGCGCAACCTCCCCTGCATCAGTTGCCCTATCACCACGCAAGTCCGCAGCTGCTGCTGCATATGCCGGCGCTACTTCATACCCCCTTGGCCGGGGAGAAGACCCGCTGGGGGACGTTGCCTGCATTCCCCCTATCCCCCCTGCGCCTCCTACTCCCCCCGCGCCCCCTATCCCCCCTGCGGCCCCTAACCCCCCTGCGCCCCATACCCCCCCTACCCCACCTGCGGAAGGGGAAATCGCTCGCGGGCTGGGGGACCTCTGATGACTAGACACCTCTTCCTCTGATGATACTACCCGTCCCAACCCGCGCTCCCCTGCTCGCCCTAAACTCGCGTCGCCACTACCAGCACGGCTGGAAGCTCGGCTACTGCCTCTGCTGCCGGCGGAAATTGTAGGTAGCGGCGATTGGCGAGCCTCGTCGCGCCGCTTCTCTCTCCGGAGAGTGAATTGCTCCGTGTAACCCACGTCGGATGAATCTTCGACGGTCCACGGGAGCGACGACATGCCTGGTGGAGGCTGCGATGATGACACAGGTCAAGAAACGGCTCCTGATGATGATGATGCTGCTGCTGCTGCTGCTGCTGCTGCTGCTGCTGCTGCTGCTGCTGCTGCTGCTGCTGCTGCTGCGGCAGGTGGCGACGATGGTACTGCTGCTTACGAAAATCGCTGGATCGGGCGCGATCAGGAAAGGGCGGGCGGGAGGAAAATCCCAAGAGGTCGGGAGCGGCTGGTCCTTTTCACGGGGATATGATCTGTGCCTTTGAAATCCACTGAGCACGTGCGAAAACAGCATACAAAAAACAAAAAAAAACAAAAAAAAAAAAAAAACACACGAGATTAGGGTTACACGTCCATGCGCACTTCGCCGATTTTTACTAGAACACCTGAGCAGGTCCGACTCGCGATTCTAGCTTAGACCTCTTAATGGATGTGACATACGTCACTCGGTTCAATAGCAACAGGCCCCTCTTTCAACAGAGCGGGAAAGATCAATGCGCGCGGTGCACCAAAAAGAACGAAAAAGGAATGAAATTAGGAGGAAAAAAAAAAGGAGGAAAAAAAAGCAACAACAATTACATGAAAGTTGAAGAGATAACGAGTGTGAGAACGGCATGACGAAACGGATCTGAGCGTGCTTTCAAGTCAAGTTTGTTACAACAGATCATGGAAAAGCACGAAGATGATTTTCAGGCGACACCCGAGCTTCGTTCGCTGCCAGCGGACTGACCTTACCGAAGATTGGCGATTAAACGCATGATGCTACAACCAATACGGCGACGACAGGAAAGTGAGGGAGAGAAGCAGTGGAGGGGGAGAGAGAAGGAATGAGGAGGGGATGCGAGGACGCACGTAGTAAAGCGTGTAGGTTGGATGCTTTCGAAGCTGCGACACGACGAGACGTAATGCGAAGCAGTGCGATGCGATGCGATTCAATGCGACGCTAGGCCGCGGCTTGATGAATGGTCGCAGATCCGGCTCAGCTGGCAATGCGAAACGTCTCGGTTCAGGCCAACGGACCAGAAGGGTACCGTAAATCGGGCTAGCTGCATAAAGTGGCGCCGCGCACTTAACAAGAAGTCCTTTCTCTTGCCATGATAACTATGGCTTCACCAGGCGCCTTCAAACTGCTGACCTGACGGCACACGCAACGCGGAGGATCCTAGGCTTCACGTGTCAGCGAGAGGAGGATCAACTATGTCGAGTAGAGAGCTTTGGAATGCACACGCAGTCGTAGCTGAGTGGAAGATGAGGTGACACGACGTAAAAACATCTCGTTCGCCCTGCCAAACCAAGTTTCGGACCTGCGAGAATGGAGTGGAGTGGATGGAAGAGTGGTGGTGGGGGGAGAAGAGTAGAGCCCAAGGTACTGTGCAGATCGAGAATCCCTGGGAACCTGGGTCAAGAATTCTTGTCGACGTGAAGCTGAATGACGTGAAGGACTTCTTGACAGGCTGACGGGAATTCTTGAAACTCCTGGCACAGCACTGTATTTGGTACTTCCCTACTTGTTTCTTGTTGTTTGTAAGGAAAGTGACTCATCGTTTTAGGTAGACGAGACACTCAAGCGCGGACAAACGAACTTTGTGGTCCGAACATTCTGGATTCTTCAACAGTTACCAGCTTTCGCAAGCCCGCTGTTGAGGTTTCACGTCTGCAGGAACATGCTACTTCACTGGTTCCAAAAACCTGATAAGCCACTCTATACTACGGTATATTTCTAAATTCCTTTCTAGACTAAAAATCCTAAATTTCTTGATCCGATGCAAAGTAATGCTAGAATATTTCATTTAATAAATTCTGTGGTCTAGGAGGCTGCTCATGATGTATACTTCAAGATAAGGGAAGGGGGGGTGATGTTATGTATAATTTCCTGACTCTTGTTGCTCGCTGAGCTGGCTGGCTGGTGCCTATGATGTTATGGTAAATGATCCAACCTACACTATATACGCCCAATCTGTTCACAGGAGGAACTCCAAACGAAACCTTCATGATTTGTCAGGGTGCCGCTTCCAACCAAATCGCACATCTCCAAGTTCCCGCGTGACCAGCGGTTCTGTCTGACAGCCCCATTTCCAGAACCCGCGAAATCCGTCGCAACCCAACATCCTTTCGCCTCTCGCCCCATGTTTCGACCTGATCGAAGGGTTTTCACTGCGGTACATTGTGCTTTTCCAGCGGCTTGAGGCTTGTTACCACTGTGCAACGTAGTGTACCGAATTTAACCCTTTTGATCTGGTCAGTTTCCCTTGTCAACCTTGCTCCGCCAAATTCTCCCATCACACCCATACTCTTATCACCAGTGTAAGGATGACTTTCATAACGCACAGAAACATCTTGGCGCCACACAGCACCACACAAACATGAGGCCGGATTGAATCCAACAATCAGAAACAGTAGATGAGGCAGCCATAACAGCACGTCATTCCACCACAGCAGCGAGCCGTGTAGAAGTTCTCACGTTGTCGTAGCTTCGTGCATGCAATCGCGATGGCGAGGTCATCAGATGGAGGGAGGTAGTATACCCGCGATTCGTCCGTTCGTCGTCGAACCTAGTGGAGGGACGTGGGAGCGCGCCGTTCCTCCGTCAGAATGTCGTCCTCTTCGCGAGGCGACTCCGTCCCGTCCTGGCTGACGGACGTCTACAAAGATGACACATCGGTCAGTAATTCCGCGCCGCCCACGCTTGGCCCCCCGAGGTTTACACGAGGCCGCATTTTCCGCAGTAGAACCTGCGAGAGAGATTGGCACAAGCTTGCAACAGTAAGGCGCTTAGGTCTCCAATACGATAATTTCGCCGTTATTCTCAAGAAACGTCTGAGACGCTTCCTTGCACGCATTGGCTCCAAGATACGTCTCTAATCTAGAAGCGAGTCCGTTCGCCTTGCAAATCTGCAAACACCCTGCCCTAGAACGTCTGCGTGGCTGCCACGTGGCATTGGTCTGCAAATCCTTAGGCCTTTCCTGTCTGAAACACCCACGTCAGGCCCCGTTATATGACTCATCGTTTTTCTCTCTCCCTCTTACATCATCATTGCTGTTGTTGATAATGAGTATAATCAGTGTTCCCTGGTCTGGAGCTCGTAAGGGTTAAGGCATTAGTAATTTACATTAACAGTTATACGCATCGCATCGCTCAGATCGAGGAATCGAATTGATTCCATTATGTGTGCCAAGGTAATAGACTGCTACGGTCACGAGCTACTGCAATGGTGGATTGCAATTTCAGCAGCGCTGACTCCACCTCCACCTCCTTCCCCCTTTCCTCTTCTCCCCCCCACCTCTTCCCCCCCCTCCCCTCCCGTTCCCTCCCCCTTCCCTTCCCTTTCCGTTCCTTTCCGCCCCGCTCCCCCTCCGCGGGACGAGCAAATCCACCGGCGCTCCCCGGAAAAAGGGGATCTGTTCTCGCGACTTAACTCACACTGCTGCCCTCGCCTCCCCCTCCCCACTCCCCGCTCCCTTCCCCCCTATCTCTCCCCACCACTCTCCCGATCCCCCTCCCTTTCCCTTTTCTTCGCCACCCCCTTCCCCCTCCAACACCCTTCCCCCCTCCTTTCCCCCGCCCGCATTTCCGCGCGCCATTACCCTCCCCCGCCCTCCCCCTCCCCTTTCCGCGCGCCGCTCTCCCGCCGGCCTTTCCGCGCGCCACTCCCGTCCCCCGTCTGCGCGCGCGCAGGACGAGCAGTTCCAGGCGCTCCAGGAGAAGCTGGCGGAGGCGGATGCGCAACTGCTGGCCGTCACTGCGCGATGCGGTAAAGGGGGGAGGATGTGGGAAGGGGGAAGAGGAAGGAAGTGGTAGTGGAATGGGGGGAAGCGGGGAGGAGAGGAAAGGGGGAAAGGAGGAGGGGAGAAAAGGGGGGGAGAAAAAGGGGGGAGAGGAGGATGGGAGAGGAGGGTTGGAGAGAGGAAGGGGGGAAGAGGAGAAGGGGAGAGGAAGGCGGGTGGTAATGGGGAAAGAGAAAACGGGGAGACGAGGGGGGGAGTGACGGGGAAGACGAGAAGGAGGAGAGAAAGGGGAGCGATGGGGGAGGCACCTGCTGTGTGTTCACCTGATCTGACCTTCCCTCCTTCCCTGCCCTCCCCGCGTGCCCCACCCTCCCCGCGTGCCCCACCCTCCCCGCGTGCCCCACCCTCCCCGCGTGCCCCACCCTCCCCACGTGTCCTGCGCTCCCCGCGTGCCCCACCCTCTCCGCGCCAGACGAGTGGAAGCGCAAGGCGCAGGAGAAGGCGCGCGAGGCGGTGCAGCTGAGCAACAAGGTGGAGGCGCTGGAGGAGCGGCTGGCGGAGCTGGACGAGGAGGACGTGCCCGCGCTGCAGGTGGGGGGGGAGGGGGAAGGGGGCCAGGGGAAGGGGGCGGGGGAGGGGGTGAGGGGTGCGGGGGAAGGTTGGGAGGACAGGGGGGGCAAGGGAGAGGGGGGGGAGCAGGGAGAGTGGATGAGTGCAGCTGAGCAACAAGGTGGAGGCGCTGGAGGAGCGACTGGCGGAGCTGGATGAGGAGGACGTGCCCGCGCTGCAGGTGGGGAATTGCGGGGGAGGGGAAGAGAGCCGTGAGTGCAGGTGGGGGGTTTGAGGCAAGGGGATTGCTGTGCGCTGGAAGAGCGACTGGCGGAGCGACTGGCGGAGCGACTGGCGGAGCTGGACGAGGAGGAAGATGCTTGATTGAAGCAGGCGTTTGTCTAAAAACTTCAAAATATGCTCCGTCCGTCCCTTTCCCCACTTCCCCCCCCCCCCGCTCTTTCCCCGCCCCCTTTACCCACCGCTGCCCCTGCTGATCTTATATGGAGGTGACTCGACTGCGAGAGGAGCTGGCACGATCAGAGGCCCTTCGCTTCCACACACTCAAGCGTCTCTCCTTCCTTCCCACCCCTGACCTCCCACCCACCCATGTTCCCAGATGAAGGTGACGTGGTTGCGAGAGCAGTTGGCACGGTCAGAGGCCCTTCGCTTCCACACACTCAAGCGTCTCTCCTTCCTTCCCACCCCTGACCTCCCACCCACCCATGTTCCCAGATGAAGGTGACGTGGTTGCGAGAGCAGTTGGCACGGTCAGAGGCCCTTCGCTTTCACACACTCAAGCGTCTCTCCTTCCTTCCCACCCCTGACCTCCCACCCACCCCTGTTCTCAGATGAAGGTGACGTGGTTGCGAGAGCAGTTGGCACGATCAGAGGCCCTTCGCTTTCACACACTCAAGCGTCTCTCCTTCCTTCCCACCCCTGACCTCCCACCCACCCATGTTCCCAGATGAAGGTGACGTGGTTGCGAGAGCAGTTGGCACGGTCAGAGGCCCTTCGCTTTCACACACTCAAGCGTCTCTCCTTCCTTCCCACCCCTGACCTCCCACCCACCCCTGTTCTCAGATGGAGGTGACTCGACTGCGGGAGGAGCTGGCACGGTCAGAGGCCCTTCGCTTTGACCTGCACAGGCAGTTCCAGGCGCCCGACATGTCGCCCACGTCCTCCCGCGATCCCAGTGCTGGTGAGTGCGGAGGGAGGGGGCAATGGGAGGGGTTCGGTGTGGTTTGGTGTGGTTCAGTGCATTGTGTGCTTCGTTTTGACCTGCACAGGCAGTTCCAGGCGCCCGACATGTCCCCCACGTCCTCCCGCCACCCCAGTGCTGGTGGGTGGGAAGGGGGGGGAGCCGTGGGGAGGGGAGGGAGGGGACCATGGCGTTTTGTTTTTTGCTTTCGTCCCCTCGGCTCTGTTCCTCTTGGGTTAAATGCTCTTGTCTTCCCGCATTCACCTCAGTCAAGATGGGGCGAAACGATACCTCCCTCTCACCCATCCTATGTATCCGACCGACCTGTGCCTCTTCTCCCGCCTCTCTCCCTCCTTTCTCTCCCACTTCCTCCCTGCAGCCATCAGGGGCTCGGACGGATTCTCTCTGGAGCGCATGGACGAATCAGAGGCTGACAGCTGGATGCGGGATCCACCGGGGTGAGTGCCAACGGGGGTTGCAAGGAGGGAGGAGGGAAGCCTGGGTGGATGGTTGAGGAGGAGGAGGAAAGGAAGAGGGGAAGGAATTGGAGGAGGCGCCTTATAACACCGCCCCCCTCCATCAGTTCCCTGTCCTCTCTCTCCCCTCCCCGTTCCCGGCCCTTTTGCTTCGCAGGGGCTCCGTTAGCAGTTGTGGGTCTGAGGGCGATTGCCGTGCCATTAGTGAGTCGAGTTTTGAGTCGACTCAAAACTCGGCTCCGTTAGCACTTGTGGATCTGAGGGCGATTGCCGTGCCATTCCATTCCACCACTCGCTCCGTGACGCTCCGCCACTTGCTAGACTGACCTGACCTTACGTCCGAGCTCCTTTTCTTGCCTCGCAGGGGCTCGGGCCGGTCAGCAGCTGTGGATGTAATGACGATTGCTGCAGATGAAGAGGAGGAGGAGGAGGACGAGGAGGAGGGGACGCCTTATAACAGCGTTCTCCTCCCTCGTTTCCCCGTCCCCTCTCTCCTCTCCCCACGCCCCATCCTCTTGCCGCGCAGGGGTCTCGGGCCGGTCAGCAGCTGTGGATGTAATGGCGATTGCCGCTCGCTCGCACTCACTGTACTGTGAGAGCTCTCAAGACCCATTGTGTGCTCCTCTCCTCTCTCCTGAATTTCTTTCTTCGCAGGGGCTCGGGGCGGTCAGGTCAGCAGCTGTGGATGTAATGGCGATTGCCACTCGACCACTCATTCCTTCCTCGACCCTTGCCCCACTCCCCACCCCCCCTGCCCCCCACGCTCTCCTCCTCACAGGGGTTCGGGCCGGTCAGCAGCTGTGGATCTAATGGCAATAGCTACAGATGAAGAGGAGGAGGAGGACGACGAGGAGGAGGGGGGCCGGGGGAGGGGAGGCGGGGCAGGAGCACCGGGCATGGGAGGAGAAGGGAACAAGGTGAGTGGGAGGGAGAGGAGAGGTGCGTGGAGTAGTGCAATGCAATGCGGTGCGGTGCGGTGGGTTGCGGTGCAGTGCCATGCACTGCCATGCCCGATTCTTCCCCCTTCGACCAGTTCCTTGCCCACACTGTTCTCCTGCTCCCTCGTGCATGTGCATGAGCATGAGCATGAGCATGAGCATGAGCAGTTCCTGTTCCCGTCGGCTGTTGTTCTAAGCTGTAACGAGCAGATTCTGTGGTATTTTCTTAGTCGACTCAACAGACAGACACCACCATTTAGTTTCCCGCACCGCACCACCTAAACTGGGCTGGCCTGAGCGCAGCTCATGTTCACCCCTGTCCCCACACCACTTTTGAGGCGCCTCAAAAGCTGGCCTGAGACGATTTTTGAGGCGCCTAAAAAATCGTCTCATGTTCATCCTGTTCCCATACCACTTTTGAGGCGCCTCAAAAGCTGGCCGGAGCGCAGCTCATGTTCATCCCTGTCCCCACACCACCCCTGGCAGGCACCCCTTCCGTTCATCCCATTAACCAGCTCCCGCTCTTCCATTTTCACCCCATTCAACCTCTCTCTCCCCCCCTTTCTTTCCACTTTCCTCTGCACCACCTCTCCCACACCCCCTCCTCTCCACCCTTTCCTCCTCACAATTCCCCTCCCCCATTTCCCCCCCTCACTCCCATTTTTTTACCATTCCTCCCCCTTCCCCTCCCCCTTCCCTCCCCCAGCACCCCTTCAGCGCGGGTCCTGCCAGCAGCGACGCCGGGGACAGTGACCTTGCTAGACATGGGTGAGGCACCGTCTTACATGTTTCGCTCCCTTGTCCCCTTTCCCTTTCTCCCTTCCCCAGCACCCCTTCAGCACCGGTCCCGCCAGCAGCGACGGCGGGGACAGCGGGTTCGTGCAGACTCTTCTAGACATGGGTGAGGCGTCGTCATACGTGCAGCGCTCGCCTGGCCCCCTTCCACACCTCCCTGCTCTTCCACCTTCCCTCCATCCCAATCCCTTCCTCCCCACTCCCGTACCCCCTATCCCTCCCCCCTTCCCCTCCCCCTTCCCTTCCCCAGCACCCCTTCAGCACCGGTCCAGCCAGCAGCGACGGCGGGGACAGCGGGTTCGTGCAGACTCTTCTAGACATGGGCGAGGCTTCGTCATACGTGCAGCGCTCGCCTGCACCAGAAGCAGCCTTTCAGCAGACGAACCAAGCTGCCCTTGGGGGAATGGAGAATCTGGTGGAGCAATTGCGAGAGTCGGAGAGAAGGAGGAAGGTGCTGGAAGGAGAGGTGGAGAGGGTGAGGGAGGAGGTGGGGAGACTGGGGAGGGAGTTGGGGGAGGTGAGGGGGAGGGAGGAGGAGGAGAGGAGGGAGGTGGAGGGGAGGGAGGAGGGGTGGAGGGAGGAGAGGAGGGAGATGGTGGAGAAGATACAGGCAGCTGAAGGAGCTTTGAGGGAGGCTAATGTGAGAAGGGAGGGGATGGGGGGATGGGAGGGGGTGGGTTGAGGGGGGAATGGAGGATGGAGGATGAGGGATTGCGAGAGGGGTATTGGGGGCAGTTAGGTACATGTACTGTAGGAGCAGGAGGAGCGGGTGAGGGTGCTGGAGGTGAAGCTGAGGGCAGCAGAGGAGACTCCATTTGAACCCGTCTGAACCCATTTGAACCTGTTGTTTTTGCTGTTTTTGCGTGCAGGCTGCAAGGGCGGAGCAGGAGGAGCGGGTGAGGGTGCTGGAGGTGAAGCTGAGGGCAGCAGAGGAGACTCCATTTGAACCCGTCTGAACCCATTTGAACCTGTTGTTTTTGCTGTTTTTGCGTGCAGGCTGCAAGGGCGGAGCAGGAGGAGCGGGTGAGGGTGCTGGAGGTGAAGCTGAGGGCAGCAGAGGAGACTCCATTTGAACCCGTCTGAACCCATTTGAACCTGTTGTTTTTGCTGTTTTTGCGTGCAGGCTGCAAGGGCGGAGCAGGAGGAGCGGGTGAGGGTGCTGGAGGTGAAGCTGAGGGCAGCAGAGGAGACTCCATTTGAACCCGTCTGAACCCATTTGAACCTGTTGTTTTTGCTGTTTTTGCGTGCAGGCTGCAAGGGCGGAGCAGGAGGAGCGGGTGAGGGTGCTGGAGGTGAAGCTGAGGGCAGCAGAGGAGACTCCATTTGAACCCGTCTGAACCCATTTGAACCTGTTGTTTTTGCTGTTTTTGCGTGCAGGCTGCAAGGGCGGAGCAGGAGGAGCGGGTGAGGGTGCTGGAGGTGAAGCTGAGGGCAGCAGAGGAGACTCCATTTGAACCCGTCTGAACCCATTTGAACCTGTTGTTTTTGCTGTTTTTGCGTGCAGGCTGCAAGGGCGGAGCAGGAGGAGCGGGTGAGGGTGCTGGAGGTGAAGCTGAGGGCAGCGGGGGAGGACGGGCATGTGCTGAAGAGTGCGATGCAGGAGATGAGTGCAGGCACGCACGGGGAGCAGCACACACTCAGTGTCGTACAGGGGCAGGTCAACGCCCTACAGGTAATCCCCTCCCCTTCTGATGGCTGGTGTTTGCTGTATAACCTGTCAGGTGGTCCTGTCTGCCTGATACTCAGTGTCTTTTGAGTCGACTCAAAGTCACCTCATAACCTGTCAGGTGGTCCTGTCTGCCTGATACTCAGTGTCTTGAAGGAGCAACTCGGGCGGGGCTTGGCAGGTACTTTCCTCATCTACCGCTACCCCTCTCATGGATCCGCTTTTCCCCCCGAACCCCCCCGGTCCCCCCCAATCCCGGCTTCCTCCCCCCCTTGAATCTAGCCAAATCCCCCCATAATCCTCGTTTTTGCCACCTTGCCCTCCTGAAACCCCCAGACCCAGTTAGTGCGGGAGAGGGAGCGCGCAGCGGAGGAGGCGGAGGAGCTAACTCAGGAGATGGCGGAGCTGCGATTTCAGCTCATGGAGCAGGTGGACGCCGAGAGAGAGGGGGCTCTCCTCCTCCTCTCCTCCTCTTCCCACCAACCGCCACCCCTCTCCCCCGTTCCGTTCTTCCCCCAAACCCCCCCGAATGCCTCCAACCCCTCTAGAACGCCCCGAATCCCCCCACATCTTCCCAAATCCCCTCTTCCTCCTCCCGATTCCCCCCATATGCCCTACCCCTGAATGCCCCAGACCCAGTTAGTGCGCGAGAGGGAGCGAGCAGCGGAGGAGGCGGAGGAGCTAACTCAGGAGATGGCGGAGCTGCGATTTCAGCTCATGGAGCAGGTGGACGCCGAGAGAGAGGGGGCTCTCCTCCTCCTCTCCTCCCCTTCCCACCAACCGCCACCCCTCTCCCCCGTTCCGTTCTTCCCCCAAACCCCCCCGAATGCCTCCAACCCCTCTAGAACGCCCCGAATCCCCCCACATCTTCCCAAATCCCCTCTTCCTCCTCCCGATTCCCCCCATATGCCCTACCCCTGAATGCCCCAGACCCAGTTAGTGCGCGAGAGGGAGCGAGCAGCGGAGGAGGCGGAGGAGCTAACTCAGGAGATGGCGGAGCTGCGATTTCAGCTCATGGAGCAGGTGGACGCCGAGAGGGGGCTGCGCGCCGAGACAGAGGCAGCGTCTTTGCGGCGAGTGCAGGAGCTGGAAGCGATGGTGAGTGATTGTGAGCGGTGGGAGGAGCATTGTGAGTGGTGGATGGTGGTGGTGTTGGTACAGACGCAATTGAAAAGCGGGGGAGAGAGAAGGAGTGTGAGGATGTGGGAATCTGTGTGTATAAAGGGGAGGGAGGGGAAGAGGGGAAGAAGGAAGCTCCTTGTATGGTGGAGCTGTGCTTTCTGCACATTGGGGAAGTGGAGACATGAGGGGGCTCTGTAACGGGACTCCTTCCCACCCCTTTTTATCATTCAACTTTCCACACCTTTCCACACCTTCCCACACCTGTTCACCCCTTTCTACCAGGCTCTAGCGGCCAACGATGCGAAGCTCCAGGCAATGGCTGCTAAGGCGGATGCAGAGAGAAAGATAGAAGCCAAGGAATTGGCTCTTATGCAGAGAATCGAAGCAGCTGATAAGAGGGATAAGAAGGTGGGGGAGATGGAGAGGGAGATGGAGGAGAGGAGGAAGGAGGTGGAGGAAAAGGAAAGGGAGGCGGAGGAGGAGAGGAGGAAGGTGGAGAAGGAAAGGACTGAGAGTGAGGAGAGAGTGAGGGAAGCAGAGGGGAGAGTGAAGGAGTCGGAGGAGAGAGTGAGGGAGGCGGAAGGGAGAGTGAGGGAGGCCGAAGGGAGTGTGCGAGAAGCGGAAGGGCGTAGGGAGGAAGCAGAAAAGCAAGTCGCGAGGATGGAAGAGCAAGTGAGGGAGTGGGAGGAGAGGGTGAAAGGACTGGAAAAGGAGAAGAAGGAAGCAGAAAGTGCTTTGGATGATGCTGAAGATAGGGCAGCGGATATAGAAGGGCAGTTCTTGGTTATGCAGAGTAGAGTGAGGGATTTGGAAGGGAAGCTGCGGCAGCAGAGTGTTGAGTCAGAAGCTGTTTGTAAGGAGCTTAGGGAGGAGGTGAAGAGACGGGAAGAGGAGGTGAAGAGACGGGACGAGGAAGGGGAGGGGGTGAGGAAGGGGCGGGATGAGGCGAAGAGGAGGGTGGGGGAGTTGGAGAGGGGTGTGGAGGAGGGGAGGAGGAAGGCGGAGGAGTGGGAGAGGAGAGTGAGGGAGAAGGAGGGGAGGATTCAGGAGTTGGAGTCGGAGGTTATGAGGGGTAGGAGGCGGTTGGAAGAGATGGAGATGGAAACGAAGGGAGCGAGGGAGGTGGGAGAGAGTGTGAAGAGGAGGTGGGAGGAGAGCGAGGTGGAGATTCAGAGGAAGGAGAGAGAGAGGGAGGAGGAGGCGAGGAGAGTGAGGGAGTTGGAAGAGAGAGTGAGCGAGAGAGGGGAGAGAGTGAGGGAGTTGGAGGAGAGAGTAAGGGAATTGGAGGAGAGAGTGAGGGAGGGAGAAGAGAGAGTACGGGAGGTGGAAGGGAAGTTGAGAGTGGAGGAAGAGAGAGTGAGGGAGATTCAGAAAGAAGGGGGTGCGTGGAAGGAGAGAGAGAGGGAGATGGAGGTCAAGATACGAGAAGCAGAGGAGAAGGCAGGAGCCGCAGAAGCAAAGGCGGTCAAAGCAGAGGAGAAGGAAGGGGAAAGTAAAAAGGCATTGGAAGAAATAGAAAAGGAGGTGAAGAGGGTGCGAGATCTAGAGGACGAAGCAAGGAAGTGGGTAGAGGAGGTAGAGGGAGAGTGCAAGAGACGCACAGAGGAGGTGGAAGAAGAGATGAAGAGGAGAGTGGTAGAGCTTGAGAGGAAGCTGAAGGAGAGTGGGAGTGTGGCTGGGAGTGCGGAGGAGAAGAGCAAGAGGGTTGCTGAGCTAGAAAAGGAGATCGAAGAGGCGGAGAAACTGGTAAAGGATTTAGAGGAGGCTGTAGATGAAGGGAAACTGAAGGTTAAGGCGTTGGAGGGGCAAGTGGAGGAGAGAGAGAGGGTGATAAAGGAGTTAGAGCGAGGGGTGGAGGATGGGATGAGGAAGATTGTTCGGCAGGTGGAGGAGAGGGAGAGGATGATGGAGGAGATTAAGAAGAAGCTGGAGGAGAGAGACAGGGTGATTGGGGATTTGGAGCGGGCAGTTGGGGAGAAGGAGAGAGAGCTTGATTTGCAGAGGAACCAGAAGCTTCCTGAGTTGGTTGCTGAGTGGAAGGAGAGAGTGAGGGAGGCGGAGGAGAGGGTTGAAGGGGAGAAGGGCCGAGCCAAAGCTGCCGAAGCTGAGGCGAAGGCTCGGTGGGAGGAGGAGCGGCGGTCGTGGAAGAGGAGGGTGGAGGAGGCGGAGACGCACTTGCTGGAGGCTCGGGAGGAGGTTCGGATGGCGCAGCAGGAGGTTCGGGAGAAGGTTGGGGAGCTGGAGGAAGTTGCCAGGAAGCTGGCAGAGGAGGTTCGGCAAAAAGTGGAGAGGGAAAAGAAGGTTATTGTATTGGAAGGGAGGGTTGATGAAAAAGAAAAGAAGATGGGGGAGTTGGAAAGAGAGATGGAGGAGAGGAGGAAGGAACTGGAGGGGAAGTATTTAAGCAAGGTTGATGAGTTGCGAGCACTGGAGGAGAAACGGAAGGAGGTAGAGGGGGGGCTTAGATCGAGGATAGGAAGTTTGGAGGAGGAAGTTGGGAAGATGAGGAGGAGAGTGGAGGAGGAGGAGGGGAGGGTGGCGGAATTGGAGGAGAGGAGGAGGGGGCTTGAGAAGGGAGAGGAGGAGTTGGGGGAGAGAGTGAGGGAGCTGGAAGGGGAGGTTGAGGAGGTGAGGAGAGGGAGGGATGCTACGCAGAAGCAGCTTCAGGAGATGGAGGAGAGGGAGAAGGCGAGTGAGAAGAGGGTGTGTGGGCTGATTGAGAAACTAGAGGCGAAGGAAGGGGTGCTGGTGGGTTTGAGGGAGTCTGTAGAGGAGAAGAGGAGGGAGATTGAGGAGAGGAGGAGGGAAGTGGAGGGAGTGAGGGAGGAGGTGAGGAGAGTGAGGATGGAGCGGGAGGAGGAGGAGAAGGGGAGGGTGAAGGCGGAGGGGGAGCGTGAGGAAGTGAGGAGGAAGCTTCAGGGTGTGGAGAGGGATCTTGAAGCAAGCAGGGCCAAGGTACGTTCATTGAGTACTACCGTCATCACCATCACCATCACCATCACCATCACCATCACCATCACCATCACCATCACCATCACCATCACCATCACCATCATTATTGAGTGGGACACTTTCGAATGATTCACTTCTGAGATACCCCACAGAGAGAAAAGGCAAGGACGTGCGGCGCAGCCTACATGATGCTGTGGCTGAAAGTTTCGAGACCATACTTACACTGTCCTGTCCCTGACTTTCCCTCTTCCATTCCCCCACCCTCATTTAAATCCCATAGGTGCGTGACTTAGCAGCGGAAAAGGACCGGCTAGAGAGGGAGGGGGAGGACGTGAGGCGCAGCCTGCATGATGCTGTGGCTGCCAGTGCGAAGCTGGCTGCGGCACTGGATAAGACGGAGGGGAAACTGGTGGCACTGGAAGAGAAGAGTGCAGAGGTGAGAATGGGAATGGAGGGAGAGGGGCGTGGGGGAACGAGAGTGCGTGGTTGAGTGGGAAAATGGCGTTAACCACTTGCAGCTGTGGCTGTGGCTGTTAAGCTGGCTGCAGCGCTGGATAAGACAGAAGGGAAGCTGGTGGCACTGGAAAGCTGAACAGAAAGAGTGCGAATGGGAATGGATGACGGGCGTGTGAGGGAGGAGATGGGAGGAGAGGAGAGGAGATGAGGCGCCGCAGACATGGTAATTTGTGCTCAAGTGCGTTTGCTCTTTTGCGCATTCTTTTCTTCTATCGTGTGTGTGTGTTTGTGTCCAGGAGAAGAAGCAGATGGAAGCCTCACACAAGGAGCAGGTCGAGAAGCTTCAACAGCAGCTGCAGGTACCGCTGCTTGCTTGCTTGCCTCCTCTGCAGAGCCCTCCTCCCATTGAACCTCACCCACCTCGCTCATCCTCCTTTCACACAAGGCACAGGTCGCACTAGGATGCTTGCCTGCCTAGCCCCCATCCTACTCAATCACACACTCACTAGGGCTTTCGACTCATTCACTCTGCCACAATCCAGGCCCCACGTTATCCCTTCTTCTTTCTCTTTAATCCGATCTTCCTCGTTTCACCCCTCCCTCTTCTCCCTCCCAACCCAGTCCACCCAGCAGTCACTAGAGAGTGCTACTAGGCGCCACCAGGAGGCAGCAGGCGAGCTGAGAGGAGCGTTGAAGGAGCTGGACCGGTTAGAAGGGCTGCTGGGGAGCACACAGGAGCAGCTGGAGGAGAGTCAAGGGCACTTGCGGAAGACCGAGGGGCAGCTGGAAGAGGTTAACGGGCAGCTTGGGCAGACGAAGGGGCAGTTGGAAGAGACGCGGGAACGGCTGGCGGAGACTGAGGGGAGGCTGGGGGAGAGGGAGGAGGAGTTGAAGAGGAGTGGAGAGCGGTTGGAAGAGGTTGAAGGGCAGCTGGCAAGCGCTGAGAAAGAGCTGAAGGTGTGTGCTTGTGTGCATGTGTGCTTGTGTGCCTGTGTCCCACCCACATCGTCTCACCCAACCCATCCCCCACACACGACGTGCGTTTTCTTACCGCCCGTTCCTTCCGCCATTGCGTTAGCGTCCCCATCTTGCTCCTCCATCTCTCCCACCAGTACTCCATCCATCCATCCATCCATCCATCCATCCATCCATCCATCCATCCATCCATCCATCCATCCATCCATCCATCCATCCATCCATCCATCCATCCATCCATCCATCCATCCATCCATCCATCCATCCATCCATCCATCCCACCCTCCCTCCAAGTTGCAGGGTGTTTTTGACGATACAATTACAAAGACACCTCACAAACTCCCCTCCCTACACCATCTTCCCTTCCCAATCATCCCCCCCTTTCCACCCGCACCCAGAGCACCAATGAGAGCTTGACAGCTGTCAAGGGGGAGAAGCAGCAGCTGGAGGAGAGGCTGGCAGAGACAGAGCGACAGAGGGAGGAACTTGCTGGGAATCTTCGTGCTCTGGAGGCTGACCTGGCGGAGCGTCGTGCTGAGCTGGCGCTGGCGAATCAGGAGCTGTCGGTGCGCGCGGGGCAGATTGCTGAGCTGACGTCACAGCTTAACCTGGCTACTGTTGCTCTGAAGGTAAGAAAAGCCAGTAGATTTGTAAGGGGTAGAGTTCTATAGGGTAGGTCCAGATGGGGTATGGGCCATGGGCTGAATTCCCGTTTGAAAATGCAGTACTAACTCTGCTCTCTTCACAGCTATTCCTTGCTACTCTCCGCATTCGCATCTTGGATGTGGTGCTGACGGTGAAGGAGGATAAGAAGAGCAGCCTCCCTTGGAGCTGCCTCGAGTCCCTCCTCTCTCCCATTCTCCCCTTGCTGCCTCCGCCCCTTGTGTCCTCCCCGCTCATAACCACAGGAGGCGAGGGAACGCATTCGCATGCTAGAGGTGGTGCTGACGGTGAAGGAGGAGGAGCTGAAGAGCAGCCTCCTTTGAGTGGTCTGTCATATCCGTTATCTCTCTCCCATTCACTGCGCGTTCCTGCTTCCTTCCCTTGTGTTCTCCCCACCCACCACCACAGGAGGCGCGGGATCGCATTCGCATGCTGGAGGTGGTGCTGACAGTGAAGGAGGAGGAGGAGCTGAAGAGCAGCCTCCCTCTTTGCTCCCTCTGTTCCCTCTCTCCCTCTCACATTCTCTGCACCTTCCTGCTTCCTTCCCTTGTGTTCCCCCACCCACCACACATCACAGGAAGCGAGGGATCGCATTCGCATGCTGGAGGTGGTGCTGACGGTGAAGGAGGAGGAGCAGCCTCGCTCACTTCATGTCTCTCTCTCCTTCCCTTGTGTCCCCTCACCCACCACCACCACAGGAGGCGAGGGATCGCATTCGCATGCTGGAGGTGGTGCTGACAGTGAAGGAGGAGGAGCTGAAGAAGCTGGAGGAGCAGAGCAGCGAGGCGAGCGAGCAGGCCAAGAGGATGATTGCTGGCAGGGACAACCAGGTGGGGCGTTTGGGGGGGAGTTGGTGTGGGGATGGGTGTAAGGGGGTGGTCTAAGTGTGTAGGGAGTGGTGTCGTTTGGAGAAGCTGGAGGAGCAGAGCAGCGAGGCGAGCGAGCAGGCCAAGAGGATGATTGCTGGCAGGGACAACCAGGTGGGGCGTTTGGGGGGGAGTTGGTGTGGGGATGGGTGTAAGGGGGTGGTCTAAGTGTGTAGGGAGTGGTGTCGTTTGGAGAAGCTGGAGGAGCAGAGCAGCGAGGCGAGCGAGCAGGCCAAGATGATGATTGCTGGCAGGGACAACCAGGTGGGGCGTTTGGGGGGGAGTTGGTGTGGGGATGGGTGTAAGGGGGTGGTCTAAGTGTGTAGGGAGTGTTGTCGTTTGAAGAAGCTGGAGGAGCAGAGCAGCGAGGCGAGCGAGCAGGCCAAGAGGATGATTGCTGGCAGGGACAACCAGGTGGGGCGTTTGGGGGGGAGTTGGTGTGGGGATGGGTGTAAGGGGGTGGTCTAAGTGTGTAGGGAGTGGTGTCGTTTGGAGAAGCTGGAGGAGCAGAGCAGCGAGGCGAGCGAGCAGGCCAAGAGGATGATTGCTGGCAGGGACAACCAGGTGGGGCGTTTGGGGGGGAGTTGGTGTGGGGATGGGTGTAAGGGGGTAGTCTAAGTGTGTAGGGAGTGTTGTCGTTTGGAGAAGCTGGAGGAGCAGAGCAGCGAGGCGAGCGAGCAGGCCAAGAGGATGATTGCTGGCAGGGATAACCAGGTGGGGCGGCTGTGGCCGTGTGGGGGAATGGGAGGGGGAGTGGTTGTGATTGTGGGTGGGTGGGTGTGAGGGAATGGGTGTGAAAGGGTGGGCGTAATGGGGTGGGTGTGAGAAGCTGGGAGTGCGAACGGGCGTGACAGGCATGTTCCTCTCTCTCACTTACCTTGTTCCCCACTCCCCTCCATCTGTCGCCGATCCTCCCATCCCCTCCTACTTTTGTTCCCCAATTTCTTTATTCCCTCTTACTTTCAGCTTGCAGGGTATGTTTTAGAATTCTCAAAAAATGCCCTTTCTGAGAATTCTCAGAAATAACCTTTTTGAGAATTCTCAGAAATACCCTTTTTGAGAATTCTCAATTTCTACTTCCGCCCCCCAATCTCTTTATGCCCTCGTACTTTCAGCTTACTCAGCTCACTGAATCACCACAAGCACAGGATGCCACCTCCCTGCTCCCCTCCACTCTCTCACTCCCCATCTCCTCTCCTCTCTCACTCCCCATCTCATCCTCTCTCTCTCACTTCCGTCTCTTCCTGCTTTTGTCCCTCAACCCCCCCCCATCCCCTCACCTTCTCAGATTTCTCAGCTCGTATCGTCCCTACAAGCAGGGAATGCCAATTTGGAGGAGGCTATGAGGAGGTGAGCACACCGCTTCATCACTTGGCACTGTTTGCCACCGCTCTGCACAGCTATTCTCTCACCCACGCCCCTTTGCACCGCACTTCACACCCTGCTTTACCACACTGCGCTTTCATTGCAAGGCACTTTGAACACACCCTGGCACTGGCGGCGCACACACCGCTCACCGCATCACACCGCATCACACCGCATCACCCTTGCTTGAAGTCTCGGTGAGAGAGAAACGGCTGGAAGGGACAAGGGACACAACAGCTGTTTCCCTTCAACTGTGCCTTCTGTGCATTCAGCGGTACAACCAACGTCTGTGCATGTCGATTTCTTAGGCGCCTCAAAAGTCGCCTCAAAAGTTATGAGGCGCCTCAAAAGTCGCCTCAAAAGTTATGAGGCTCCTCAAAAGTCGCCTCAAAAGTTATGAGGCGCCTCAAAAGACGGTACAACCAACGTGTGTGCGTGTTGATTTCATAGGCTCCCCCACGCCCTCACCCCTCTGCCCCCCTCTCCCCTCTTCCCATCCCATTAGCCCTTGCTATTGAGGCGCCTCAAAAGTCATCACCCTTCCCCCCTCCTCCCTCCCCCCTACCCTCCACCACCCATACCCCAGGCTTGAAGGGTTGGAGGGGGAGAAGCAGCTGCTAGAAGTGGCACTGCTGGAAGCACAGGGGCAGGCTGAGGCAATGGAGAGAGAGAGAGAGAGACGAAAAATTATGCCCACCTTCTGTCCCCATGCTCCCCCTTCTCCCCCTTTGCGTATCATACCCCAGGCTTGAAGGGCTGGAGGGAGAGAAGCAGCTGCTAGAAGTGGCACTGCTGGAAGCACAGGGGCAGGCGGAGACGATGGAGAGGGAGAGGGATGATGCACGTGCCGATGCGGCCAAGAGACGGGCTGGATGGGCCATGCCCACCCCGGGCTCTAATAACCTCAAGCCATCGGCCATCAAGGCGAGGCAGAAGCAGTGAAGGGGATGGGGTGTGGGGATGCTGGCAACAGACGGGGAAAGAGACGGGCTGGATGGGCTATGCCTACCCTGGGAGCTAATAACCTCAATCAGTCGGCCATCAAGGCGAGGCAGAAGCAGTGAAGAGAGGGGTGGGGTTTGCATTGCAGTGCGGTGCGGTGTGGTGTGGTGTGGTGCAGTTCGATGAAGGGATGGTGTGGATGGGTGCTGCAGACTTTGTTCCTTCCCACCCCCAGTGCTAATAACATCAAGCCGTCCGCTATCAAGGCAAGGCAGAAACAGTGACAGACTGGGTGAGGTTTGCGTTGCGGTGCAGTGCGGTCAAGTGGGATGTGGGGGAGCGGAATGGGGTGTGGGGATGCTGCTGACTTTGTTCCCACACCCGGCGCTAATAACATCAAGTTGACTGCTATCAAGGAGAGGCAGAAGCAGTGACCTTGGTGGGGTTCGCATTGCATGCAGTGCCATGCTTTGTGCAAATAACACCAAGGCTATCAGCCATCGGTCATCGTGGATTGTCAGTCATCAGCCATAAAGGCTGGCAAAGCTGTGAAGTAGAAGCAGTGGGTGTTTCAATGTGGTGCAATGCAATGAAGCAAAGGGATGGGAAGGGGCAGGCTCAAGCTGCTGGGCCATTAGCCCACTACCACCAGCCTGCCCTTGTGGAGCGACTTTTGATGAGTCGAGTCGACTCAAAAGTCACCTCGTACCGTGTATGAAGGTACATAACACCCATGTGCTGTAGGATACAGTACGTACGGTAATACCTATCAGATAATTGAGACTGAGAGTGTGCTGGAGGTCAGGGTATGGTGTTTTGCCATTGGAGACTTGTCTAGTTGCTTGCTAGTGCTATTTCTAGTGGCAGACGAATTGTACTCTCTATTAGTCAAACCAGTATTACCAAGTATACATAACTTGTCAGGCTGAAGGTTTTGGACTAAATGATAAGCACCCCACTTGTTTAATCCACAAGTAGTCCCATTACTGAGCTACCATCACGTTAACACAATATCACACACAATAAGAGCATACATGAACATGATACATGTTACGCACAGTAATACCACACGATATAAATGACACTAGCCCTTATTCCCCGACCTAAAATCTACTGAGAAATAAAAGGGGCCTAGGGTACACCTAGACAAACCTAGCCAAACCTCACAAAAATCCCTCACTAAAGACTCCACCCAGCCCAACCCAGCTCTCTCAATGCTCTTGAGTTGAGCCAAGCCCGACAGAGAGTCAAGCTCCCCTGGCTTCCTGTAGAGCCAACAACAACACTCCCTGGGTGCTTCTAACCCCCCTTCTACACCCCCTTCCCTCCCCTCCCCTCCCCTGCCTCTCCCTACTTTCCCTGCTAGAGGTTATCACACACCACTCCTCCCAACCAATGCTCCACACCCAGCTTGCTCAGGTCAAGTTCTCTTGGCTTCCTTTACAATCTGACTCGTTAGGTGAATATTCGAAAACCCCCAGACTCCCCCTCTTTTCCGCATTGGAGATGAAAGCTACAGCTCCAATTCCTACTGCTGCACCTCCAGCTTGATCAAGTCAAGTTTCCTTGGCCTCCTGTAGAGTCGCAGCAGCAGAGAGGAGCACACCACACTGACTGAGGACAGGGCCATTGCAGCCCCAGCAACCCACGGGGGGAGGCGAAACCGGAGGGCGGTTGGGAAGAGTACCCCCGCCGCGATGGGGATACCCGTGACGTTATACCCGAACGCCCAGACGTAGTTCAATCTGATCCGTCGGAGCGCGGTCCTCGCGAGATCAATGGCTGTCGCGACGTCTTCCAGAGACGAGCGCATGAGGACGATATCCGCCGCCTCTATCGCGATATCCGTGCCGGCCCCAATCGCAATCCCTACATCAGCAGCTACCAGCGCAGGAGAATCGTTCACCCCGTCTCCTACCATTGCCACCTGCTTCCCCTCCCCCTGCACCTTCCTCACAAACGCGGCTTTATCCGCGGGTAACGCCTCTGCCACCACGTCGTCTCCCTCTATCCCCACCGCTCGCCCCACAGCCCTGCCGGATCCCCAGTTGTCTCCTGTAACCATGACTGTGCGCATGCCCATGGACTGGAGAATTCCCACCACTGCTGCTGCTTCGGGCTTGACTGGGTCTGAGACAGAGACACCGCCTATCACGTGGCCATCGAGGGCTATGAGCACGTCGGTTTCAGCGCCTGCTTCAGTTTCAGCGAGCCATTCGAGGACGCCGCGAGGGAGAGGAGGGAGGGAGGGGTCTGTGGTGGCGCTGTTGATGTTGCTGTTGCTGTCGGCGGTGGCAGTAGCAGCAGCAGCAGGGGCGGCATTAGTGCCCGTACCTGTAATCTCCTCCTGTGATCCGCTCTCCCCTTCTGCGATCGGCGCCGGTGCATTGCACATGACTACGGTCCTGGTCCGCATGAGCTTCAGATTCCCCACTGCCACGTGGCGCCCGTTGATTCGGCACACCACGCCGTGCCCGGCTATTGCCTCGAAGCTCTCGGCAGGAGGGAGAGTGTGCAGAAGCTTCTTGGAAGGAGAGGGGTCTTGGGAAGAAATGTCGCCGGTGGTGGCGGTGGCAGTGGTAGGGTGATTGGGTGTGGAGGTAAGAGTTGAGTTAGAGGATGGGGGGGATGTGGAATGATGGGGTGAGGGATGGAGGGAGGACAGGGGGGAGGGAGAGTAGTGGAGGAGGGGTGAGGAGGAAGGGAGAGGGGATGGGGAATGGGGGAGAGGAGAGGTGGAGGAGGGAAGCGGGAAGGAGAAGGGGAGAGCACGAGGAGAGTCGGGAGAGGAGGAAGGTGGCGAGGAGGAGGGTGGGGAGGAGGAGGGAAAGGGGATATGCGAGAGGTTGGGGAAGGTCGTGGGCATGTGCGGGGAGGAGAGGCAATAGTCCACTATGGCCTTGGCTAGAGGATGCTCGCTGCTGACCTGCAATGGGGAAAGGGGGAAGGGGGAGAGGAAGAGGGAGAGTGAGTGAAACTCCTGGGCATGGGGGGGAGTGCTTGAGCATGTGTGGTGCGGGGAGGAGAGGCAGTAGTCCACTATGGCCTTGGCTAAAGGATGCTCGCTGCTGACCTGCAATGGGGGGGAAAGGGGAGAGGAAGAGGGAGAGTGAGAGTGAGTGAAACTCTTGAGCATGGAAAGAAGGTCTTGGGCAGGAGGAGAGGCAATAGTCCACTATGGACTTGGCCAAAGGATGCTCGCTGCTTACCTGTGATGGGGGGAAATGGGGAGGGGAAGAGGGTGGGGGAAGGAGGAGGAATTGGTTGCCGTATCATTACACAAAGATGGGGTGGAGAGAGGATTTTTTTAGAATTCTCAAAAAACAATAGGGGATATGGGGAAGGAGGAAGAGGAAGAGGGTGGGGGAAGGAGGAGGAGGAATTGGCTGCCGTGTCATTACACAAGATGGGGTGGAGAGAGGAAGGGAAAGGGTGCGAGGGGGGGTGTTGGAGTCACTTTTGAGAATTCCCAACAGCGGGTGTCTGCGGTGAGAGGGAATTGCTGGATGCCCCATCAAGGGGTAGAAAGCATATCAATGCTATTTCAAAGACACGCACAGGCTTCAAGATGTGTGTGCGTGCGTGCGCGCGTGCCTGCCTGCGTGTGTGTGCTCGCGCCCATACCTCAGCAGCAGCGAGTACAGCGAGCAGTTCCGATTGTGAGACCCGGGAGGAGAAGAGGGTGCAGGAGGTGACGCTGGGCCTGCCCTGAGTGAGCGTGCCCGTTTTGTCAAACACCACTGTCTCGATCTGAGGGTGTTGACAAACACACACACACACACACACACACACACACACACACACACATCAAGAGAAGGGGAGGTTACAGCATTACACGGTGAGACGAGGAGAAGAGAGCGCAAGAAGAAGTGACGCAGAGCCCTTCCCATGTGCCTATGGGAAGGTGTGCCTATGGGAAGGTGTGCCTATTTCATCAAGCTTATTTTCCGCTCACCTTGTGCGCTCTCTCTAACGCGTCAGCTCCCTTGATCAGAATCCCCTGCTGCGCGCCGATACCCATCACCACCAATACCCGTGAGAAGAACAGCGGACCCTTCCTGTTTCTCACCTTGTGCGCTCTCTCCAGAGCATCTGCCCCCTTGATCAGAATCCCCTGCTGCGCGCCGATTCCCATCACCACCAAAGCAATACCCGTGACAAGAACAGCGACCCCTTCCCATTGCTCACCTTGTGCGCTCTCTCCAAAGCATCGGCCCCCTTGATCATAATTCCCTTCAGTTATGCCCTTCAGTTATGCCCTTCAGTTATGCCCTTCAGTTATGCCCTTCAGTTATGCCCTTCAGTTATCCCCTTCCCTCCTCACTACGCACCCAGACCCATTTCTTTCTCACCTTGTGCGCTCTCTCCAGAGCATCAGCCCCCTTGATCAGAATCCCCTGCTGCGCGCCGATTCCCGTCGCCACCATCACAGCAGTGGGTGTGGCGAGCCCCAGAGCACAGGGGCACGCTATAACGAGTACAGAGATGCCGAACTGGAGGGCCAGCTCGAAATAGGTCATCCCCTGGGGTAACCACGACGAGGGGAATGCGCCGGTGTACCCGGTAATTAGCCAGATGGTGAAGGTGACTAGTGCGATGATGACGACCTGGTTGGGGGAAGGGGAGGGGGTAGGGGAGAGGGTAGGGGAGGGGGTAGGGGAGGGGGTAGGGGAGGGGGTAGGGGAGGGGGTAGGGGAGGGGGTAGGGGAGGGGGTAGGGGAGGGGGTAGGGGAGGGGGTAGGGGAGGGGGTAGGGGAGGGGGTAGGGGAGGGGGTAGGGGAGGGGGTAGGGGAGGGGGTAGGGGAGGGGGTAGGGGAGGGGGTAGGGGAGGGGGTAGGGGAGGGGGTAGGGGAGGGGGTAGGGGAGGGGGTAGGGGAGGGGGTAGGGGAGGGGGTAGGGGAGGGAGGGAGGGTGATATTTGAGCGTCACTCTTCCAACTCACTACAGCAGCAACACATACACCCACTCACAGCCACTATCCTGATTCCCCACAACATCTCACAGCATCACTCCCGCTTCACCACAACAGCCACACCACCTTTACACTGCACCACCCACCCACCCCAGTACTTGGAAACAAATACTGCCCACATTCCCTTCCAACACTCACCGTAGGCACAGATATTGCGGTTTTTTAGGCGCCTAAAATTTTTTGAGGCGCCTCAAAAACAGATATTGCGGATATCCGTGTCGGGCACGCGTTGAATGGGCGCCTTGGCCATCTGAGCCGCCTCCACCAGCTGCACTATCTGCTGCCCTGTGGCAGCACCTTTCCCAGCTTCCTCTTTCCCCCACAGTTACTCACCGTAGGGACGAATATTGCCGATATCCTGTCGGCCACCCTCTGTATCGGAGCCTTGGCCATCTGAGCCGCCTCCACCAGCTGCACTATCTGCGCCAGTGCCGTGTCCCCTCCCACCCTCGTGGCCTGCACGTGAATGCTGCCTGCGAGGTTGAGCGTGCCGCCTATCACGGGGGAGTCGAGCTGCTTCAGCACCGGGCGGGACTCCCCTGTTATCATGCTCTCGTTCACGTAGCTGGGGGGGAGGAACGGGGTAAGGGGGAGGGGAGGGGGGGGAGGGGGTGGGGGGGGGGGAGTGGGAGGGGGAGGGGGGGAGGGAGAGAGGGAGGGAGAGAATGAGGCAGGTAGGCAGGCAGGCAGGGATTAGGGAGAGAGGGTAGGTGACGTGTGTCCCCGCCCACCCTCGTGGCCTGCACGTGAATGCTGCCTGCGAGGTTGAGCGTGCCGCCTATCACGGGGGAGTCGAGCTGCTTCAGCACGGGGCGGGACTCCCCTGTTATCATGCTCTCGTTCACGTAGCTGTGAGGATGGAGGGAGGGCGGGCAGGTAGAAGGGAAAGTGGAAGGAGGGGTTTGCAGGAGAGGGGAAGGGGGATAAGGGAAGGGAGGGTTTTCCATGTCTGAATCACCAAGGGAAGCGAACACACTCACGCGTGGCCCCACACAGATTCTGACACGTCTCAAGACTTGTACTGTCCTCATACTGTCCTCATGACATCCTTGTATGGACTTGAAAGGGCTTGAAAGGACTTGAAAGCATAACATCCTCATACTCACGTTTGCCCCCACACCACGACACCGTCCGTGGGGATCTTGGCTCCCGGCACCACTCGAATGATGTCTCCCCTCTGAATCAACGCCGCCTCGATCTCCCTCTCTCCCACCACCCTCATTTCCCTCCCCTTCCCCTCAACACCCTCCTTCCCCTCTTTCTCCTCTTTTCCTTCGTTCTCTTCCTTCTTACCCAGCTCATACCCCCTCTTCTCCTCCCCAGCTATCAACCCTCTCGCCTCCTCCAAAGCTGCAGCAGAGGCAGCAGACTCGAGAGTCACATCTCTCACCATTCCAACATCCCCACCATCCCCTCCCATCAGCGTCATCATCACCTCTTTCTCCCTTCCACCACCCACATCACACCCATCTGCAACACACAAATCAACAGACGCCACGTCAGACTTGAAGCTGAAGCCGACCTGGCGCGTCGAATCAAAGAGCGCCACGTCATCCGACTGGAAGCTGTAGTCGGGTTCTTCCTGCATGCCATTGCCACGTGTGAAGCTACCGCCGTCCCTGCTCGGGCTCATGCAACCATACCCGTTGCTGCCGCTGCTAGCACTGGTAACCACAGCACGGGTAGGGTTACCAGCAGCAGCACCAGCAGCAGTAGCAGTAGCAGCAGCTGTAGCACCATCACACTTTTCAACCCCAATCTCCATAGCCTTCCCTCCCTTTTCTCCTCCTTCTCCCTCCTCTCCCCCCTCCTCCCCATACACCACCTCTAGTAGCGTGGCGGTGTCAGGGGCCAGTTTCAGCAGCTTCCCTATGGCATCGCTCGTCTTGCCTCTCGCCACAGCCTCCAGGTATTTTCCCAGCATGATGAACGAAATGAGCAGCGCACTCGTTTCGAAAAAGTCGATCCCAGCGTATGCGTAAGTGACTGTGACTGGCATTTCCTCCTCTCCTCCGCCCCCTTCTACCTGCCCTTGACTTTCCGTTGTATTCGCTGCTGCTGCTGCTGCTGCTGGTGCAGCTGCTGTTTTAGCCGGTGCTGCTGTTTCTGCTGCTGCCGCCGCCCCTCGTGCTGCCACCTCTTGAACCATCCTCCCCTGTGCCGGTACCAATGACGACTCAGGAAAAACAGCACTGGAAGAACCGGCGCCAGAGAGGCCCTCACTCCTGCTGTTCACGGTTTCGGGAAGGCCCTGGCTCCTGCTGTTCATGCGCCCTATCCACTCCCACGTGCCCACCGTCCCTGCGAAATCCCCTCCCCCTCTGGTCCCATACGCAGTGCTGCTACCGCCTGCATTAGCAGCAGCATTAGCAGCAGCACCAGGCATGCCCTGAAAACCAGCCAGAGCAGATAAATCAATCTTACTAGCAGGATCCCACCACGTGTTGGCTCCAGTGCCGGGAGTAGCAGCAGCAGCAGCAGGCGGAGGAACAGGAAGCGGAGGAAGAGGAGCAGCAGGAGGAGGAGGCGATGCCGACGGGGGAGCTAGCTCGGTAGGCGGGGTGACAGCGGAGGCAATGAGGATGAAGAGGGAGTAGAAGAAGGCGGCGTTGGTGCCGAGGGACACGAGCACGTCCATGTTGGCTGAGCGGCGCTTGAGCGCGTGGAAGGCGCCCGTGTGGAAGCGCCACCCGATGATGAACTGGACGGGGATGGTGAGGATACAGCGCGCCAGCACCCCCACTGTCAGGCTGTGGGGAAGAGGGGGTTAGAAGGAGTTGGAAGGCGTAAAGAGGGAGTAAAGAAGGGTTAAAACGAAGAGCGCGTGGAAGGCGCCCGTGTGGAAGCGCCACCCGATGATGAACTGCACCAGGATGGTGAGGATACAGCGCACCAGCACCCCCACTGTCAGACTGCGGGGGTGGAAGGGGAGGGGAGGAGAGGGGGGGGAGAGAGAGGGAGGAGAGGGGGAAGAGAGGAGAGAGGGGAAGAGGCAGGGGAAAGAGGAAAGGGAGCAGAAAATGGCTACGGTAGCACAGTCCATGTTGGCCGAGTTGACAATTCGGTATATGTCGAACGGGGAATCCAATCCAGCACCATGGCCTTCAACTGAGCTATAGGAACGGGGGGGCTGCGAGAGATCCAGCTCACAATCCACATGCACCAGCACCATCGCACAGCAGAAACACCGGCACGCACGCACGCACGCATGCACACACACGAATCAACTCACCAGTTGACAATCCGATACATGAGCCACTCGTCGAAAGGCGGGATTCGATCCAGCACCATGGCTAGCAGAAACACGGGCACGGAAAACACCAAGCTCCAAATAAACTGCTGCCGAAGCTTCCTTATCTCCTTCCTTCGCTGCCTCGACCCCGCGCTCCCCCCCACGCCTCCCCCTTCCCTATCCGCCAGATCGACTTGCTCCAGCCGTCCCGTTTCGACCAGCCCCGATTGTAGAGCCTCTAAGAGAGTCCTGGGTCCGCTTATATCGGGGTTGAACGAGACGGTGACGTGCTGGCTGGAGGTGTTGACTGCTGCAGCGGAAACGCCAGGGAGGAGGCAGAGGGAAGCTTCGATGAAGGTGGGGAGGGGGAGGGCGGCGAGCGCGGGGGAGAACGGGGCGGCGGAGAGGAAGGGGGAGGGGGAGGCGGAGAGGGCGGCGGGGGAGGAGGGCGGAGCGGAGGGTGCCTTTCTCCTCCTACCAGAAGCAGAAAGAGAGCTGCCTGTCCTTTTGACAGAAGCGGAAGGAGCGCTGCTGCTAGTGCCCTTGACAGACCCGGAGAGTTTAGTGGCTTCGGTTCCGGACTGGGACGTGCCGGCTGCTATGGCCGACGCGAGCCCCTTAAGTTGGAAGCGCACCTGCTGGTGCTGCGAACCCGCGGAACCCGCGGAACCGGCGGAATAGGCGGAACTCGAAGGGGAATCGAAGAGAAGGTTCGCGGAAGGGAAGCCCGCCTTGTGGATGACCGCGAGGAGCGCCGCTGGGGAGAGAGGCGCGGGGGGAGCGGAAGCGGCGGCGGCGGAAGCGGCGGAAGCGGGGGAAGCGCCGGGTGAGACGGGGGAAGCGGGCGCTGGGGAAGGGGAGACGGAGTACACAACGTGCGCTTCCAAGTCACCGTCGCCACCGCCGCCGCCGCCACCGCCGCCGGGCATGCGACTCCAAGTCACTGACGCGGCCAGAACACCAGGGGTCGCTTGTAGCGCTCGCTCCAGCAGCGTCGCTCGATCCACCACCAACGGCGTTTCTTCCATCGAATCTCCTCCGCTGATGGCGGCGACCCCCGCCGTTGCTGCTACTGCTGCTGCTGCTGCTCGTTCTTCTGGATCCGCGGACGACGCCGGCACGCGGAAGCGAATCGCGCGCGCTCCGCCCATCGACTTGGGTAGCCCTCCCGCCGCCGCCGCCGCTGCCGCGTGCCCATCGCCCGCGGTGGCGTTGCTGGCGTCTCCCGCATCTCCTTCGCCGCCGCCGCCGCCGCCGGACACGGCGAGCATGGTGCAGGAGATGATGCTGACGTCAAATCCCGCGTCCTCGACGGCGCTCGCTACTTCGTCCTCCTGTTACAGTCACAAGGCGCGCGACACGACACAGAATTATTAGAATGAGACGAACAACGGAGACGGTCCATAACCATAACAGACTCTGATGAGTTGGTATGGATTCAAGCGGATATGCTGCGTCTGAAAGCGGTAATGATGTGTGTTCTGGCGGTAGTGCTGAAAGGGACGCATTGAAAGCGGTGCGCTCGCGAGGTCGCGCAGCGGCGGCGGCGGCTGTGGCGGCAGCGGCGGCACGGGTGGCACTCACATTCGTCAACGCGCTGTCGAAGGTGACTTTAGCGCGCTCGCTAATAACGGAGACCGTCGCGTTCGACACGCCTTCGAGGCGCAGAAGCGCCTTCTCGATGGAAGCGGCGCACGCGGCGCAAGCCATTCCGCCCACCGCGAGAAGGACCTCCGCCGCCACAGGCGCAACGTCGCCACTGCGGCGGCTTCCGCCTTCTCCGCCGCTCCCATCAGTCGCGGCGGCTTCCGCGTCGGGGGAGGTGGAAGATGCGCCCGCCGCCGCGGAGGTCGGCTCCGCGCCGGCGCCGGCTGGGCCGAGCTCTGCCTCGCGGGAAACTAGCGGAGCGGACGTTGATCCGCTCGGCGCGCCGCGCGGCGGCGGACGGCCTTTCGGCGCGAATAGCGCGCACTGGAGAAGCTCCAAAACGCCCTGCTGGCGGCGACGGCGCGCGGGCGGCGGCGGCGGAGGAGGACCCGCACCGCTTTCCGCCGTCATCATCCTTGCGGCGGCGAGTCTCCGCGCGCGTGTAGTATGAGATTCCGATTCCGCTCTTTTCACTCGATTTTTTTCACTCCGCTCTCCTTGCTCCACTCCAGTGTCGTTTCGTGAAATAAGCGTCGCTCAGTGATGTCAGCTCAATATCAAGTAACTGATGTAGTAGCAGCAGCAGTAGTAGCACTTCTCCACTTTGGCAAGCTAAAGCCGGCCCCGTCGCCGCCACCGCCGCCGCCGCACACGTGCTAAGCACGTGGCGTCTCGTCCCCGCTCGGATCTGAGTACGAGCTTTCGACAAGTCTCAATTCGATGAAATCTACGGCAGCGCTTGCGAGAGAGGATGCTAACGCTGGTTGTGTTTCTTAGGGATATTCAAAAAGCACTACCAACCAGCAAATAGACACCCGTGCTAGCCTAAGGTATCATTGAGAAATACCAACAAAATGAGGGTTTTGTGGGTGTTGGAAGAGCTGGTTATTGAGGAGGATGTACGCGTACGTACGAGGGAAATGCCAGGAAGTGAAAGCACTCAGTGAAGTGAAAGCACTCAGTCTTCTGAGCTGCATTCATAGCAGTGCTCCTGGAGTGACGCCATTTTCCAGTCCAGCCAGCAACCCTGAATTGTAACCTGCCATCGTTGCTTCGCATCACTCGCAATCCTTCTCAGCTCCCCTCGCCTAGCTCCCACCTGCTTTTGACCCGTGGTCTAGTTACCTGATTCCTTGGATTCTGCGAAGAAATTCAGGACTTGCGAACCTGAGAAGGCGGTCTAATGAAGCACTTCAGCCCCAGTCAGCCGCTCAAAGTGACTGTATGGCGGCTTGCTGGCGTGGCTTTGCGTGTGTGCGACATCGCAAACTCGCGACATGGAAAATGCGGCTGCTTTTGTGTTCGCAAGCAATCGCTTGATGGCTTGCTTTGTCTGTCGTCGAGCGCGGGATCCGCGTTACGGGCATGGACCGAGCCAGCCAGCCAATCACGGAGCCCAGTGCAACGACAAGCCCAATGAGCGAACGTGACAGCCTAGCGGATGTAAACGGCGCAGCGAGTCACAGACAACGCGCGTCGATAAAACCAAGGGCTGGGGTTAGGTGTTATCTCGAGGAGGCCGGTAAGGGAGAACGATCTGCTGGTGCGACGCGGAGTGGATCTGGATGACCAAAAAAGGTCAAGATAGGGGTCCACTTTGGGCAAGAAAAAAACAACTGTGCGAGCGAGGGGGGGATGCAAGGGTCGCACTCGCGTAGGCGAGGGCGCGCCGCTCCGTGTGTGCGACGTTGCGCAACCGAATTTACAGGTGCTTGCTACCTAGGGGAAGGGGGGAACCCAAATGCTTGTATGACAAAACATATGTGCCCGTTCATTTTCTTCCAACCAGCAAGCGTCCTTGTAGTCTCGACACTTTAGTTGTTTTGTGTGATTATGGCGATCTGTATCACTACACCACGCAAGAAACGGCAGTCTGACGACTAAGTACAGCGTCCATCAAAGGAGGTGTTTGCTGCAAAATGAATTATAGGGAAGAAAATAGGGGCTGGGGGGACGCGTTGGTCAGGGGAGGGGCTGAAACCAGGGCCAGGTGACTGCATTTCTCCAGTTTGCGGGTTTCGGGTTCGCCCTTAGGGGGACGTGTGAGGGAAGTTGGTGCGGCGTGTGTCTCCGCGTGTGGTGGTCTGGCTGATGCGGTCGTGTGGCCGGTGTTGCTTCACTTGGTGGTGCGCTGGCAGTCGTGTTGCATGCTAGTGAGTGAACTTTGACTGCAGGCAACGCCAGTGTCAGTTGTTGTACGTACGAGCTTGGTTTGGCAGGGGTTGGTGGATCTGTCACGCTGGGATCAAAACGACAGCTGATTGGGTCGGTGAGACTGGGCCACCCAGACGAAGGACAGTACACTTGATCGTACAACGGATGTGCAGTGCAGAGCTGTATGTACGAAGCCCAACGCAACAAGCCCACCAGATCGTACAACTCGCCCATGGCTTCAACTTTCAAGGTGGAAAGCGCGTAGCGGTACAGAACCAGTTGAGCTGCGTACGGTACGCATTCCGCACGCACCCGTTCACGTTGCGGGGCAACCAAGCCATTTTGGCAGCTGCCCGACCTGTCACTTTTGAGACAGAAAAAACTCGTAATTCGCGAGCAAGTGTATACCATTCTATGCGTAAATGTTAGCTTTTTATGTTTGTCGTACCTAAATCTATTCTTGTGATTGCATATATGCTACATTCTATGGGCTTTGTCTGAGTTTATGTTTTTTAAACCAAAATTCCATACTTCCTATATAGGCCCTGGTGGGCTTATATAGGAAAATTCTTCTTCTTCTTTTTAGCAAAATTCATAGCTGTAAAAAATAGAATGAAAAAAACTGCATGGCAGCTCTATATTTTCTTTATAAAAAAAAAAAAAAAAACAAAAAAAAACTCGATCTCATGAGTGTGTTAGTGTTCCCATCCATTGTGAGAAAAAAATCACAGTTACTGATGTCTAATTGCTGCTGAAGACGCTATTGTTGCTGAGGTCCCCACTGCTGAGACTGCTGCTACTCAATTCTAGCGGACAACATGGCGAAAGGGAGCGGAGCCTAAGAACGGCTGGATAACAACGCCAGTCTAAAAATGGTTAACGGGTGACAGTAAGGAAGAAACCCGAATTTACGCCAGCACGGGGGGAATACGGCCTCCAGCGGCTGCGGGAAGTGTCTTGAGGGATAGGAATAGTGAGAGGCGACGAGCACGGGTGGGTGGTGGCGGTGTGCTGGTGCTCGTTGGCGAGTACGGGACTAGGCTAAGGAGGTAGACGGTAGGGGTAGGTAGGAGGGCGGCTCACAAGCAGGGCGCACGCTGCTGGCGGAGGCCTGTGCTACCGCTAGTCCTACTGGCGGCGGTCAATGCTGCTGCTAGCGCGCAATGGCGGCAGTGTGATGGTGCTGGCGCGCGCTGGCGGCGGTGTGCTAATGCTAGCGCGCTCTGGTAGCGGGACGCGCGACAGCGGGATGGTGGAGAGGGCTAACGGGGTCGTCCCAGAGTCACCAAACGTAGCTCGCGAGAGGGTGGGACGAGGTGGTGGGTGTCAAAGGTCCACTGGTGATCCCCGATTGATCCTAGGGAAGGGTTACACGCATGTTGGCCTGGGGGGTTATGGGCGCACTTACCCGCTACACAAACAAGTTCTTTTATCCCAGTGGTTAGTGGCTGGGATTCTGACATGGTATCAGAGCGAAGGTCTCGGGTTCGAATCCCAGCGTGTGCACTTCGGGCATCCCAGTGCGGGGGGGTGTCAGAGGTCCACTGGTGATCTCCGATTGATCCTAGGGAAGGGTTACATGCACGTTGGCCTGGGGGGTTATGGGCGCACTCACCCGCTACTTAACAAGCCATTTTATCCCAATGGTCTAGTGGTTGGGATTCTGACATTTCATCAGAGCGAAGGTCTCGGGTTCGAATCCCAGTGTGTGCACTTCGGGCATCCCAGTGCGGAGGGGTGTCAGAGGTCCACTGGTGATCCCCGATTGATCCTAGGGAAGGGTTACAGGCTCGTTGTCCTGGGGGGTTATGGGCGCACTGACCCGCTACTTAACAAGCCCTTTTATCCCAATGGTCTAGTGGTTGGGATTCTGACATGGTATCAGAGCAAAGGTCTCGGGTTCGAATCCCGGTGTGTACACTTCGGGCATCCCAGTGCGGGGGGGTGTCAGAGGTCCACTGGTGATCCCCGATTGATCCTAGGGAAGGGTTACAGGCATGTTGGCCTGGGGGGTTATAGGCGCACTTACCCGCTACACAAACAAGCCCTTCTATCCCAATGGTCTAGTGGTTGGGATTCTGACAGTGGGGAGGCCACCTAACGAGATGGAAACGGGGCCGACGAGTGCGCAGGTGGGGCATGCAGACGAGCCGCGACGACCTTACGAGGGGCCGAGGGGGTGGGGGAGGGGAGGGAGCTGCCTAGTGCGACGAAAAACGGGGCTCGCGGGTTCTGCCTAACGTGATGAAAACGGTGCCCGCAGACGGGCCTTGCGAAGCATGACGAAAGGGCCCGCGGGGTGGCGAAATGAATGGGGGGAGGGGGGGGGAGACGCTAGGTGACGGAAACGGGGCCTGCGAGGGGGGGGGCTCTACGGGACGCGAACCTCGCGAGGACCTCGACCTAGCACGACGGAAGGGGGCCCTAGGGGGCCTTGTCGAGGCACACTTCGAAGAGGGGGAGGGGAGTGGGAGGGGGGGGGAGGGGGGCGTTCGAGGTCGTTACTGCATGCTAGCGCGCACGTTCTACTGGCGGCTAAAAGGCTGGCTGGAGGGATTGCTGGCCGGCTGGCATAATGCCTGGTCTACGGCGGGACTGCTAGGGCCTAGGTAGGAAGGTGGTGGGGGGTCTAGAACCTAGGTTGATAGGCGGTACAGTGCGAAGGGAGTAAGGGAGACGAGTGACGAGGAAGTACAGGGTGAGAGCGGCGAGAAAGGTCGGCTTGAGAGCGGCGCGGTAGCGAGCCTCACTAGAGCGGAGGTGGATAAAGAGGTCAGAGACAGTGTGGAAATCGGCCAGCTCGGGATGCAAGTATGGCAGCATGAGACGGCCTAGGGCAGCAGTAGCTGGGGAGGAGTAGCGAGCGACTACAGCGTCATAGAGGGCCTTGGCTGTTTTCTGCTGGCTAAAATGCGCTTGTTCGGCGACAGGAAAGTGGTTCAGGACAGCAAGGCGGGCAATAGCATCACAAATGAGCCACTTCGAACAGGTGGGGCTGGGAGTGATCTGTCGGTATGTGCGAACAGTGGAATGCCATCCCTAGACTTGCTCTGGAGGTACAGCTGGAGGTCATCGAGCCAAATGTCAAAGGCAATCGCGCGACCCTCAGCGTCGAAACGAAGAACTGAGACTGTAGCCATAGTAGCAGTAGCAGCAGTAGGAGCAGTAGCAGCAGCAGCAGCAGCAGCAGCAGAAGCAGCAGCAGCAGCAGCAGCAGCAGCAGCAGCAGCAGCAGCAGCAGCAGCAGCAGGAGCAGC